CTAACCAATTAGTGGACAGAAGCATTCTGACGTCAGCAATGGCCAGCGCACTGGCCCTGAGGATGAATTTAAGATCTGATAGTCCATTCGTCCATCCATTTTCTGATCCGCTTTATCCTCACTCGGGTCACGAGGGGTGCTGGAGACGATCCCAGCTGTCTTCGGACAGTAAGCGGGGGACGCCCTGAACCGGTTGCCAGCCAATTGCAGGGCACACAGAGACGAACAACCATCCGCGCTCACAATCACACCTAGGGACAATTTTGAGTGTTCAATCAGCCTGCCATGCATGTTTTTGGAATGTGGGAGGAAACCGGAGTACCCGAAGAAAACCCACGCAGGAGAACATGCAAACAGGAGGGCTGGGGCCGGGATCGAACCCGCAACCTCTGCACTGTGAGATCCACGCGCTAAACACTGGACCAGCCGCCCTCCGATAGTCCTATTCCTAATCTAGTTGTCCAGCATGACTGATTCTGAAGACCCAGATTAGATTGACATGTCTGAAATCCAATGGTCACATGTAATGGAAGCAAAGCCACCAAGGGAAACAAAATGAAAAGAAGAGTATAGACTGTTAGGGGAAATTTACTGCAATTTCATGAAACTGAATTTAGGTTCTAAATGTAGGTCATTGCTTCTAACAATGTTTAGGCCGTCAGAGAAGGCTTTGCTGGCCCTGACCACCAACCACTGCTCCAACCACAACCCTGTGCTGAATTCCCAGTCCTACACTCATCATATTTCTTCTCGTTGACGCCACTTTTAACACGCAAACAAAACCCAAACACGTAGCACTTCTGAAGCGAATCCCTCCGGTGATCCAATCGAAAATAAATGCACACATGGACATTAATGAAGTCATAGAAAGTGTCGATTTGCAGCTGCAGAAAAGCTTCTCCAGCTGTACATCATCAATTCCACACACAAACGTGCACTCCGGGTCTCTGGATGGCAAAATCATTTAAGACGTAAGGGCCTTGCCATCGTTAATGCCGCGTTGCCGGGGCGACCGCCAAGGAGCTGATGTTTAACACTCTGGATTGTGGGCACGGTTATGTAATCGCTCACTCAGCACGTCTGTTAGTCAGACCAGCTCACATCTGCCAGGCTGAAGGGATCAGCTGATGAGTCTGGACTTCCATTCAGCCCGGCTCAATTCTGGCATACATCTGATGATCACTTGATTCGATTGTCAGACTGAAAAGATTGAACGACAATAATCCCGCACTATTTGTGATGGATCGGGACTGATAAACAATGAGTAATTGACGGGCCCCCTAAACGTTTGTAATTATCTCTATTCATGGTTCAAACTGAAATGCCACCGACTTTTGATCCCAAAACACTTTCGTATCATTTCAAAGACAAATAAATGCCAAACAGATGATTTGATATTGAATGTATGTACTGAAAGTGTATCTGTTCATGCACACAGGCCAAAGACACTCTGTCACTTCCACTAACAACCCAGGCTAAACTTAGCTCCTCCCCACCATATGGAGCTTGTCTATCAGTTGGGATGTATCACTTTGCATCAGTGACATGAATTAATGTCCTGCTTTCCCATTTTTGGACAGGGCCTTGGCTGCATCTTGAGGCATCTGTGGCTGTTCACAAGAATCTGTGCGTGGTCAGTATGATTAATTACAGATGATTCCACTCACCATGGAATGCATGTCACCTGTCTGAGTACATGCAGTCAAGACGCTTCACTTGAACACCGCCGGTTGTGCAAGAATGAGCTCAGTGTTCGGTAGTTAGTCCACGGCTGCCGGCAGCAATAACGCTGATCCCCAGGCAACTGTAGAGCATGGGAAATACACACAATATAACAGACTCATTACACATTGTATTTAAAAAAAAAAAGAGCATCAGCACACAGGCAGGGACTTGCCTCGCTAATTAAACAAAAGCACAGTGGAATAACCCATAAAGTTAAAATTAAGGAACAGTCAATAAAGGGAATTAAAATGTTTTCTGTGTTCATCGAACAAAATACACACAAAAAAAATAATAATTTTATATTCAAAAATGGCCATTGTATGGAGGGAAATTCGGATTTATAGCAGCAGGCAGTTGCAGATATCATATATTGGCATTGGATGTTTTTTTTTTTGGTTTGTTTGTTTTGTTTTTTTGGCGCAAAAGGCAAATTACACACTGGATTCGTTGCAGGTCAATCACGGGTCACATTTAGAGACGGATAACCATTCACATTCACCCCGTCACTCAATGAAAACTGAACCACTACCTAATCACTGATACCTACTTGTGCATCATCCAAATGCTTTGGAAACATTTCTTTGAAGGGAATACGGTAATGCACAACTTAACTTGAGCCCCGTTTTGAGCAAAACCACACACCGACAACAAGGTTGAGTTTCCTATTTCTGTGTGAACAAATGGACAAAGACCAGACACCTGTACAGACTCCTGGTCCTTGGTCGAGCAAACAAGGATTACAAGTGAGGTACAGTACATGGTCACGCTCTGACAAACAAACACACACACTCATGCAAAGAGATAAACAGAAAGGCACAAAGGTATTAAACATTCCACTTGGGTCTCGAGTAGCAATAATTACTTTCACATGGAAGGACTTTTTTTAGAGCATCGAGGGACTGGATGAACACACACACACACACACACACACACTCAAGCAAATGTATAAATGCACATATGTAATCATTTATTCACTCATACATACTAATATGCTGCATTTCTTACGCAACATGCACAAGCACACATGCGCAAATGCTGCTTCGTTCTGTTTACTGTCCCCCGATGTGGCCTGAGTGGATCTGATTAGATGAGACACGTCGAGATACGTACACTTGATTATATGATTCCTTTTTTTTTTTTTAACTCACTCACTGCTCTTTCTCACTTCAACTGAAGACAAAAAAGAGCTGAGTTTCCAAAGGAGACGACACACCCATCGCCATGTGAATTAAATTGCAGTATAAATTTGTTGGGCTTGGTGTCAGTATGACGCGTGAGCCGCAGAGCCAAGCATTCAACACACATATAAAGGCTTCTTTTTCCCCTGGCTGATTTTCTGGGGCTTGAGAATGAGGTCAAAGATTTCATGCACTTTGAGTCATCTCTTGAAAATGGGGCCTGTGAAGTTAAAGGCAGGGTGAATTCGGGGCCAACTTTTTTGTACAATCCCTCGGAAACATGTCAATTTGAAGGCAATACCAACGTGCTTCTACCCTTCTGGGATAACTTTCTTTCAAAAAAATGTAGGACACTCCAATGTTCCTTTCCTTCGCCGTACATAGGGTGTAGGGGCTCATCTTTTTATCATCTCATATCACCAGAGCAGACAAGGGGGAGGAGGTAGAAATATTTTGGGGGTATGAGGCAACCCTCCTCAATCTACTCATTTCATGGAGACTAAAATGAGGTTGCCGTGTTTAACAATTGAACCGTCTCCGTGGCTGAATTTCTGCGATCACCATAAATGTCCACTTTATGTTTCAAGAATGTCATGTTCCGCCTTGCCTGTTTTGTTTCTTTGAGTGTTTCAGCACCAGCTGGAGTGTGGGGCGTCACCTTCCAGCGGTGCACCTGAGCTGGATCAAGGCAATCTGTGCTGCCTACGTAAGACACCGACCACCTGTCTCCCTCGTCGGACTGTTGCTCTTGATCACCGCTTTTGCCCCAGTGCTTTGTTATCTCTCGTTCATGCTTCTAGTCGCCCTCCTCGTCATAGTCATTCAGGTTTGTGAGTATTTGTTTCGTCTTGGTATTGTACATGGTTTCGTTTTATTGTGCTAACCTCGATTCGTATTATGATGTTTTCACAAATCATTCTATCCTTATAATTGGCAAGCGCTTTGTGTTCTCGCTCGGTTTTTCTGGCTCCTTGTTTTGCCAGCACCTTTTGTTGAATACTTAATCGGTTCCTCGCTTTTCCTTAATAAAACGTTTGTCATCGCCATTTATCTGAGTCTGCATTTGTGGGATCCACACTCCATTCGGTCTGTGGTCAGACCTTATCCTGTCAAAGACGGATTAAATTAAAATCAAATGTACAGACAACAACCTGAATTGTACTGTTTACACTGCATGAAAAAAAAGAACCAGATACATTGATACATACATATGAGCAAAAAAAATGGAATTGAACTGCAGCGTGACCTATACAGTATATGTTCTGTCATTGGCTGGTGACCATTGCAGGGTGTTCCCCGCCTCTTGCCCGAAGTCAGATGGGATAGGCTGCAGCACACTTGTGACCCCCCAGTGAGGATCAAGAATATCAAATCAATTCAAACTCAATCTCAATTGAGCTGGAGCCGATCCTGAAGGCTTAATGACAAAAGCCAGGTACAACCTGAACTGGTCAAACAAACCAGCCTTCACACTAACATTCACACCGACGGACAATTTACACTTTATATTGCCCACATCATTTTATGTGGCTCTTGAAAGCAAATCTTGTGCGTCAACTGTCATGATCCAAATGTCCTATGTTATAAATATAAATCTTCAGATATTGCAGCATTTCGTTTGTTCCCTTTCACGTTAACTTAAACAATGTTTATCCTTGACTTCTGATTTTAAAAGGAGTTATCCCTCAAATTGTTGCCTACCACGTCAATCAAACATTTATACGGTTTCACAATTTCAACGGGCCTCTGAGGAGACCCGTAACTACAACGTAGCCCTTGGCAACAATGCGTTTGACACCCCGCTATGGTCTTTAACGAATCTAGCTTGCGCGTTTTTAGAATGCGCAAGGAAGACAAAGTACCTGAAGAAAAGCCACAATATGGAAATCATATTGGAAATAAAAATTAGTGCAGCATGAACTGCATCTGGGCTACTGTTCAATCCCTTCTGCCCCATTGTATTAAAAAAATAAATACAGGTGCCACCATATACTTTTGTCCATGTAATGCGACTGCAGGCTTCAGGGGAGGCATGAGAGTAATATGTGTTTGCCACCCCACCAATAATCCGTTTTGGTGTCCGACTAATATTAGACGTAAGTGCAGCAGTGTCCAAACGATAATTTATGTATGTCTGACTGCTTGGCTGAGTCTCTGAGTGAAATCCAATGTGCAAACGCTCAATCTTGCTGTCAGCGGTGTTTGATGCTTCCTGTGCTCCTCGAGGGCCATATTCCACGCGGAAGGCCACCTGGAGGGAAATTGACAGAGAACAGTTTGAGCGGGCCAAGGTAACAGTCAGTTATTCCATCAATTGCGACTCAAAAAGATGCGACATCGGAATAAAATGGCATGTGGCTCAGCAGTGCCAGAGGTGTCAAAGTCAAGAAAACCATACGAGCAGATTCACTTCAGTATATCTGCATTATCAAGCTCCAGAGGATGTGCGATGTAACTTTTGGGAAATAACTGCTCCTTTACGAATAGCACTGTCATTAAAACAGCGGCCACTATTTTCCATTACTTGATGCTACTTTCCATTAGGAGGCTTTTTTTTTTTTTTTTTTTTTTTTTTTTGGTGATGAGCCCATTTTATGTGCAGTCAAATGATAAAATTTGAATGACTTTAGCTAGTTGTAAATATGTCTCAAACGTTGGAGAAAAACCACGCATGACGTCAAGAGACTAGCAAACATGATAGCACGTCTTGTGCAGAGATTTATATATTATGGCTTTAAGGAGATATCATTTCTCTTGCAGGGCTGGTTACTATGGTTACTGTTGTTGTTTTACTCCGCCAAACTGTTGGTTCGTTTTTTTCTGTAAAGTATTTTCATGCCTTTTTTTTTTTTTACAGATAAAGTTGCATTGACAATAAGAAGTTTAAGCATGTTTTTTTGTTTTTTTTTTTTGTCAAAAGGTCAGGAAGTTCTTTTAGGGGAATTCCTAACTTTCGTACAGTCGAGTGCCAATCAGCAGCAGAAATCCTCGACAAATGGGTGACGCTACTTTGTAAACTGCCAGTTTTTTTTTTTTTTTTTTTGGGCAACCTAAACTAATATGTATGGAGTGTGGAGAAGTTCTTTTAGGGGAATTCCTAACTTTCGTACAGTTGAGTGCCAATCAGCAGCAGAAATCCTCGACAAATGAGTGACGCTACATTGTAAACTGCCAGTTTTTTTTTTTGTTTTTTTTGGGGCAACCTAAACTAATATGTATGGAGTGTGGAATCAAAGTTTGACTCATTTGGCTTTGAACGAGAGGTGAGCTACACCCTCTTGTAGTTGGCAGTCAGTCGCAGTATTTCAAGGGCTTGAGGTGAAAAAAAGAGGTCACGAGGACCCATTCATTGCTGTTTAATTTCAGTTGTAATTGATCCTAACGGGGAAAATGAAATTAGATTAGAACAAATTTAAGTCACGGAAAGCACTGTGGTTATTTTTGTAGGTTCCGCTGGATTCTATCTGTACCATTTGTGCGCCTCCTCAAAAGCAATTTTCGATCAATTTGACCTCAAATATTGCAGCCAGATTTTTCCTGACAGAGGCGTAGCACAGATTAAACTGCATCTTGAAGATGAAACTCAGACACAGGGAGGATTCGGATCAGTTTGGGAAACAGCGAATATGTTTGTGTTCTTCCCCAGCCGGTGGGCAAAGAACAAAAAAAAAAGCCGAAAAAAAAGAAGGCAAAAATCTCAGCCAAAAGGAGGCAAATGTCACAATTGCATGATGCTTCGTAGCTGAAACAAGACGCATATTCCCCTCGCCCGTGACTTGCTTGAACGTTTGCACGCACATGCACACTCTTAGGGAGGTTATTTGTTGAAGGTCTATCTAGAAAGTGTCATACACAGTGCATGAAAACAGACATGTATTTTGGACTGCTTGAATGCACGCTAGGCTGTTTGCGACAAAGGCATGATTTAGTAATTTGAGAGCGCATTTTGAACGCAACTAATGTCCGAGCTGGTTGGAACTAAAACACAACCTGAA